AGCCACATCCCCAGCCCCGTCTTGTTTGCTTTTTATTTTTCTTTTTTCTTTCCATTGCTTTTGGTTTCCCTCTTTTGAACCAGTCCCTTTTTCATTTTATGACATTTATCTCTTGATTTCGAAAAGGTTACCTGATAGTTTATAATGAGAAAAAAAGTTGTGAATAGTTTAAAATTTGAGGGAAAATCCCATATGCAGGCAGAGTTATAGAAATAAAGGAACAGAAGTAGGGAAAAAGTAGGAGGAAGTAAAATATAAAAGATGGAAAAAAGGATGATAGATCAAAGAAACTACTTGAATATTATATGTCATTGGATTTTAGGGAAGATATTTTTTGTATTTCTTTCAGAGCTGAAACTAGTGCTATTAATCAAAAAATGAAAGCCTACTTTAAAATATGCAGAGGTACGTGTTATATTAATGTTTTTTGCTCACAGGATGTCTTCTTATCTGAGCACCATATAAGTGTTTTGGAGACAAGAACCCTATTTATTTTCATATTCCTCATGCCTAATGAAAGAAACAGTAGAACTAGCAAGGGATTTAGAGTTCAAAGACAAGGGTTCCTGCCCTATCTCTACCACTTATTAGCTGTGTACTTCATATGTCTGTAATTGCTTCAAAATAACACGTGAAGGGGGAAACGGGTGGGAGGTTAGTTTATATTATACAGAGTTGGCCATGAGTTGAGAGCTGTTGAAACTGAGAATACATAAATGTGATTCTGATTATTTATTTATAGCAAATAGTATGTGGGAACTATTTTATTTTTTTAAAGATGTGTGACATTTGTCATCATAATCAGTTTAAAAATTCCAGAAATAACTCTTTTGATCATGATGATATGAATAATGTATAAAGTGATCTTACTGCATATTTATTTATTTATAAATATTTTTAGTTGTAGATGGATACAATACCTTTATTTATTTATTTTTATGTGGTGCTGAGGATTAAACCCAGATCCTCACCTGTGAAAGGCAAATGTTTTACCACTGAGCTACAACCCCAGTCCTCTAACTGCATATTTAAATTGTAATTTTTACAAGAGGGAACAGTGATAATTGGAAGCATCAGTTTTTTTATGACAATAAATTCAATATATAAATTTCTACAAGGAACTGTTAAATGTTTTATGAAATAATAATCAAGTTTTCTAGTTTTTTTTTTTTTACTGTAGGGAATGAACATTGGATTTTTTTTATTTTGTTTTTTCTTTTTCTTTGTCCTACCCCCCTGGCCCAAATTGAGTTTTAGAGACACATAATTTTGTAATAAATTTTCTGCAAAGTGATACATATGATTGATATGTTATAATAATGTGCTCCCACATTAGAAATGCGAGTTAATTCACCCAGGTAAGTTCCCTGTCTATACGTGTCACTCAGTAAATGTTCATATCCAGATACGTGAATGTGATAATTTTGTTTTTATTCTTACCAGGAAGAGGAAAAATGTGATGAAATCCCAGAAAGCTCTGAACCATTACTAGAATTTAACAGAAGTGTTCAAGTTGCTTCTACAAAGTATAATGGTCCTCCATTTCCACCAGTTATTTCTACTTTTCAGCCCACTACTGAAATTCTGGATAAAGTAATTGAGAGAAAAGAAACGTTGGAAAATAGCTTAATTCAGTGGTGCGTTTACAATGATTTCAGTATGAATAGATAGTAGTACATATAAATGGGAAGTATTAAATTTTAGTCAAAAAATCTTCCTTGTCTCTTTTTGTTTATTAAACTTTTCCTTTGCTAATTGATGTAATGCTAAAGGCATAACTAACTGATAGAGGTATTATTTTGGTCCTTGAATATTTATACTTTTGCTATGGCAAGAGGCTTTTCTGAGTAATTAAACCTTTAAAATGTACATGTTCTTTTATCTAGTGACTCACTTTCAGAAACTTAGCCTAAGGAAATAATTATGGATTTGCTAACAGGCCATATAATACCTAGCATTAGAAACAAGTCACTGTTTTAAGTTTATCACATATTTACAACAGCAATTAGTAATACTGTTATTACATGTAAATATGAAGTGAATTCTTATTATATTGTGTAAAACCTTAAGGAATTTATGGAGTAAAATAAAGCAACTAGATATTTATAGAGTTATTAAACTTAGGTTTAGAAGACTGTGGAGGGACATTGAAAGATACTAATAATTTGCTGGTGTATAAATGATACTTACAATGGAACCCCAGCTCATAAGACCTTGTTCAAAAATAAGTGTGCATAGAACAGAAGTTCAAAATGTATATACCAAATTGTTAATTGTGTTTATTCCTGAATCTAGAATTATTAAGTGAACATTATAAATTTTTAAAAGCTCTTATATATTTTCTACTACAAATGTCTGTCATTTGTATAATAATAAATTTTTTGTGGGGAGGGTACCAGGGATTGAACTCAGGGGCACTGGACCACTAAGCCACATCCCCGCCCTATTTTGTATTTTATTTAGAGACAGGGTCTCACTAAGTTGCTTAGTGCCTCACTTTTGCTGAGGCTGGCTTTGAACTTGCCATCCTCCTGTTTCAGCCTACTGAGCAGCTGGGGTTCAGGCGTGAGCCACAGTGCCTGTCTTAATAATATTTTCTAAGAAGTTTGTTAGCTACTCTAAAGAAATGTACTAACAGAGGTTTTCTATTCTTTTCCCCTTTCCTTTCCCTTCTTCTTCTTTCAAAAATGACTTTGGAAAAAACCTTTTCTTTCCTTTTTAAGAGGAAAACTACTCTTCATTATAGTCAATGGAAAGGGCAGATGGATATTTTTCTCTAATTTTGATCTGATACAGTTTTATATGTGTATTCTCAGAGGGGAAATCAAACCTAGGTATGCAATGTGCTCAACAATCATTAGGCAAATCTTCAATTTAGGGGTTCTGTTAGCCTTTTTAATTTTTTTATTTTCAGACAGGGTCTCTCTAAGTTGCTTAGGGCCTTGCTAAGTTGCTGGGGTTGTCTTTGAACTTGCAATCCTCCTGTTTGAGCCTCCTGGACTGCTGGCGTGGGCCATCATGCCTGGCTAACATGAAAGATTTTAATTTGATTTCTTTGACTATCTGAATACTCTCCCACAAGGAGATTATGTTTCATGTGTTTTATCTTGTTTGAAGGCACATTTTTTTCTTCTTTCAGGTGTAACTTTCAAATTACTGCTTTTACATATAATATTTGTGCCCCTGGGTAAAGGTTATTTTTAAGGTTGATATGTGTAACATTTTATATATTTCAATCAAATTTAGAAATCCTTAATTTGTATCTCCCCACCTTCCAGGGTAGAACAAGAAATAATGTCAAGGATTATCTCTGAGCTCCATCCAATCCAGCAGCAGGCCAGACTTAATGCCAGTGTTTCAGTCAGTGAGGCAAGTGAACCAATGACCTCTGACATTGGTAAGTGAAATGGAATTTTTTGTTGTTATTATTAAAGAGAATCTTTTAGTTCATTGTGATTTATATATCCCAGAGGTCATTTGGCTGACAAAAGCTAAGATTTTGTTGTTGTTGGTGGTGGTTTTTTGTGGTACTGAGTATCAAACCCAGGGTCTTAGGCATGCTAGGCAAGCACTTAACAACTGAGCTCCATCCACAACCCCCCAAAAAAGATGAGGTCTTACTTCAGATCTTACTTCTTAGTTCCTCTCTAGTACTCTAGGGAAGGTGAGTTCTCCCTCATTCCCTTATTTCATATTGCAGCACTCAGATTATTAAACTACCCCTCTCCTTCCACCCCCAAACTCTGTTATTCTCCCAGAGTACTTTATATATTTTTTATTATAGTATTTAATACATTATATTATGGTTGTTTTACTTATCTTTCTCATTCACTAGAGGATTTAAGTTACTCAGGATTTAAGTTATTTCTCCTAACCTAACCTATTTAAATAATTAAAATTTTTAAGTATTCACTGAATGGTTTAATGAGCCTCTTTCTGTGAGGAATCCCATACCATTCTTCTCCTTCTTAACCTCCTTCTTCTCCTCCTTTTCCTCTTCCATATTTTTCTTCTCTTCCTCTTTCTCTTCTCTATTTCCCTTCCTCTCCTAACACTTGTCCATCAGTTTTTTTGAAAGCCTTAAATTCAACAATTCTCAGTGTATAATTAGACAGTTGTTGACACATGTATGCAGCTGTGCATTAGCCACACAGTCATGCTGTAGAAAGGCCTTTTTGACATCTTCCAAAGTTCCCTTAATGCTGCTGCCTCCTGCTTCACCTTCCTGATGCTGAGAATTCAAGCTGGGGATGTTTAATCACTGAGTTACATCGCCAGTCAATTTTTAAAAATTTTATTTTGAGACAGGATCTTGCTGAATTGCCCAAACTTGTGATCCTCCTGCTTTAGCCTCCTGAGTAGCTGGGGTTTCAAGAATGTGCTACCTTTCAAGATCCTTAATGCCACTTTGCAGAAAATTCCTATCCCCCACCTATGCCTGGTGGTCACAAACAACTACAGAGCTGCTTTCTATCACTATTTTTATCTTATCTGGACTTTCATATATAAAAATCATACAGTATGGGTTTTTGTTTGCTGACTTATTTTATTTGGCTTATGCTGAATATGCTTTGGATTCAATCCCCAGTACCACTTAACACTATTTCATGTAGTAGTATTATACTCTATGGATATACCAAAATTTGTTAATACACTTACCAGTTGATATATTTATATATTTATATATTTATAGTTTTTAATTTGGGACTATTATAAATAAAGCTGTTATGAATATTTGCTGACAAATATTGTGTAGACAATTTTTTAATTTTCTTGGTCACATGTTAAATAAATGTATATAAAAAGCTGCTAAATATTTTCCAAAGCATATATACTATTTTGTATTATAACAGCAATGTACAAAAGTTTTAATTCTTCCACAATTTCAGTAGTACCTGGTATATCAGTGTTTTTATTTTAGCCATTATACATATGTGGAGATATGTCATTGTGTTTTTTAAAATTTACATTTCCCTAATTATACTAGTGACTGAGTAGTATAATTACTAATAATGATTAATGATGTTTTGCAGATTTTCATCTTCATATTTACTTTGGTGAAATATTATTTCAAACATTTTTTTTTTGCAGGGGGTGGGTACTGGGGATTGGACTCAGGAATGCTTAACCACTGAAGCCACATCCCCAATTATTTTAATATTTTATTTTGAGACAGGGTTTTTCTAAGTTACCTAAGGCCTTGCTACATTGTTGAGGCTGGCTTTGAACTTGTGATCTTCCTGCTTCAGCCTTCTGAGTCCCTTGGATTACAGGTGTATGCTATTGCACCTGGCTTATTTTAAATCTTTTGCTCATTTTTAAATTGGGTTTGTGCCTTCATACATATTATTGGGTTATAATGTTTTTCATTCTAGATGCAAACCATTTGTTTTTGATACTGGGGATTGAATCCAGAGGTGCTTTACCACCAAGCAACATCTCCAGCCCTTTTTATTTTCAGACAAGGTCTTGCTAAGTTTCTGAGGCCAGCCTTGAACTTGCAATACTTTCTCAGCTTCTTGAGTTGTGGGATTATAGATATATGCCACCACACCCAGCCAAATACAAGTTCATTATTGTTTATGTGTTTTGCAAATATGTCCTTCTAATTTATACCTTGCCTTTTTATTTTCTCAACATTATCTTTTGAAGACAAATGGTTTATTTTGATGAAGTCTAATTTATCAATATTTCTTTTGTAGTTTGTGGCTTTTGGGGGACATACTACTTAATTAATCTTTGCCTAAGTAAAAATCATTAAGATGTTTTTTTTGTTTTCTTCTAGAAGGTATATGGTTTTAGATTACATTTAGTTCCTTAGTTTTTTTTTTTTTTTTACTTAGGGGCTGGGGTGCTGGGATGTGAACACAGGGCTTCTTGCATACTAAGCAAGTGGTCTACTACTGAGCAACATCCCCAGCTTTTTTTTTTTTGTTGTGCTGAGAATGGAACCCAGGGCCTCATGTATGCTAGGCAAACACTACCACTGAGCAGTTATAGCACTCTTTGTTGCAAAGTTTTTCCTTTTGCTATTGAATTACCTTAATACCTTTGTTGAAAATTAATTGGCTATATGTCTAGATCCATTTGTGAACTTTCATGAATCTACATGTCTTTTACCAATATCACATACTTCATTATTGTAATTTAATAATAAGTTTTGAAACTGGGAAGTATTTTCCAACTTTGTTGCTTTTTTAAATTTTACATTTCTATGTATTATTATCTGTACTGTCTTTCTTCTTTTCAGTCTCAGAATAACCTTCTATTCTCCTTTTATAGACTGATCTTCAACTGACCAAATCCTATCCTTAGAGTCTGCATTTACTTTCTCATTGTCCACCTTCTCTTCAGTCCTGATGGGTTGGTTTCCTGGAGTCTCCTTTAAGAAATTTCTTAAATTTTTCACAGGCATTTAGTTGTCAAAGATGCTTGCTTTCAAATCCTTATTCTCGTACATGGCTCTAGCCTGGACACTGTTGCCTGCTTCTAATCCTCAAAATGTTCCCTGGGTTTTAGCATAACAACTTTATGCCATTGTTATCTTTTCAGCTTTAAGACCTTCATTTCTTCATTTATTTTCTGCTACTTGAGTAGTTTGTATGCCTTGCCCCTTTTCTATTTTTCTAGTTTCCTCTTTCATTGTCCTGTGTCATTTGATGACTCTTAAGCCATGCATTTAGGCTGTAAACTTAGAGTTCTGCCTATTGATGGATATTCTACTTGATGCTCCATTGGCATACCAAATTTGGCATATCCAAAGTACATGTAATTTTTCTACCTAGACTTGTTCTTTGTTCTCTATTTCTGTTAATGATTACACAGATTTTTCCCAGCACTCAATTTTCAAAGCCTTGGGGTTATTGTTTGTTTCATTCTCTTTTCTCTGCTCTTCCTCAGCCCCAGGGACTCAGCCAAAACCTGCATCTCAGTTTCATACTCTTTATTGTTGCATTTGGTTACTTCTTCCTATGTAATATAGCTCGAATCTGTCCCCCACACTGCTATATCCCAGATTTTCTCTCATCATTTAATTTTTTTAAAGAAAGAAAAAAAATGATCAACAAAGTTACAAGAAAATTGATATTTCCCTGGATAAAAATTTTTTCTTTTCTTCTTTTTTTTTTAGTTGTAGAAAGACACAATACCTTTATTTATTATTTTATGTGGTGCTAAGGATCGAACCCAGTGCCTCACACATGCGAGGCAGGCACTCTACCACTGAGCCACAACCTCAGCCTCTGGATGAAAATCTTTAAGATTTCCAAATTTGGTATTTATATCCTGTTCTCTTTTTTTATAAAACTGTGTTTATTTGCTTTTTTTTAAATTTTTTTTTAATTTTGCCAGTGTCTAGGGAGGACTTTTTTGGCTTTATGACATAGATATTCTGATTCTTGGTCATGCCAAACAAACAAACAAACAAACAAATGATTATAGAAATTAAAAGGGAGATTTTGTTGAATATGAGTTTTGGATTATTGATATAAAAATAGCCCTGGCTTATGGAAACTATAAATTTTTATTTTTTACCCTCAGCAAGTGATCCTAAGACATCTGTAAATAATCCCATAGATTGCTGTCATTGTTGTACTACTAAAAGAATACTCTTTGGAGAGAGCACATCTCCTTTGGGTTGTACAGATCATCGTTCATGTATTTACACTGTTTAGAAATACCACTTCATGGTCAGTAAAGTCTCGAAAAGCTTTACTTAATTTTGTATACATTCATGTAAATGAAAAGTAAAACCCATTGGAAAATTAATATATCTACAGAACATCTAATAAGTACCTAAACTGCTGTAGACTTTTGAGGAGCCCCAGCCTGTAATGGTGATAACGGGTGTATCTGAAACTAGATGAAGGAAAATTCACCTCATACTTATTACATCCTTTTGCTTTGGTCAAAATTGGAAATGTTAGTTTGTTTTCAGATGAGGACATTTAATAAGAATGCAAGTCCTTTTTATCATTAAATTCTGCAGTGGCAGGGAAGAGTATAACTAGGTTTTCACCTATATGTTTTCCTTTCCTTCTTGGTTTATTGAGAGAAGATTTTCATTAAATTATTGTCTTGCTTTCTTTCCTGGTAAGTAGGTGTGTTTGTATTTTCACCTTTACTTCTTCTCCCTTCCTCACAATATATATGCATCTCTAAAATATTTTAGGAATTAAGTTTTGGATTATAAGTGGTGTCTTGGCCACTTATTCCAAAAGTTTATTTATTTATTTTTTATTTTTTTAGTGGAAGGAACAAGCTATGGTGCTCTCCAGCTCTTTGTTGATGCGGGGGTTCCTGTGAATTCGGACATGATTAGCCATTTTGTAAATGAAGCTCTGGCTGAGACCATTGCTGTCTTGCTGGGTGACAGAGAAACAAAGAAGCAAGATCCTGTGGCTACAAGTGTTTCTGGTGATGTTTTATCAAAGGAAACATATTTTCCGGTAGGAGTGCCTCTGCTTTCATGATTAAATGAGTTCTGTGGAGTTTTTTTTATAAATATATTATTAAAGAATGATAAAATAATAGATGAATTTTAAACTGCATAAGATAATTGTGTATGGCAGAAATTTTATTTCTTGTTGCTATGACTAAAGTGTAATATTTTTCCTAGCATTTTATTTTAAAAACTTAAATCTAGAAAAAAGATGAGAGTATGATACAATGGACATTTATAAACCTTTTACCTATATTTCACAATTGATAGTATTTTGGCACACTTAAAAAATAACTCTATAACCTAGACTTAATTGACATATATAGAATATACCACCCAACATCAAGCAATTATACTTTTTTCTCAGCA